TCTTTTACTGTTCTTTCTTTTCTTCCTCCTTCCTAGGTGGATCCTCCAATTGTTTGCCATTCCTCAAAGTGATAGCTTATACCTATTCTTTAGGATTTTTCTTAGTGTTACTATGTAACATACCTTGAGTTCTTGAGGCCATCATGTTGGAAAATTGCCCTAATTGAATCTCCAAGTTCCTTATCGCAGCTTATTGGACTTTATAATTTTCTCGAGTTTCATTCATGAAATCCATATGAGATTTAGACAAAGCAGTAAGAAGATCATCATGAGTCTTTTTCTCTTGAGGAGGAAAACCTGGCGGTGCATTCAAGGTGTTGTTTGGATTCCCATAAGAAAGATTAGGGTGATTCCTCAACTTGCTTTCATAAGAATTAGAATATGGGTAATTCTTTCTTCCTTGATTCATCACATAGTTGACTTGCTTCACAGTTTGAGGATTTAGAGTATCTAACATGCATTCCCCTATTCCATGTTGCCCATTACACCTATCACATGCTTGCACAATAGAATTAACAGAGTTAGTAGTAAAAAACAATCCAACTTCCTTACCATATTGTCCACTTTGGCATTAAGTGCGGCAATGGCGTTAATCTCATAAACTCTTGTAGGCTTCTTCCTTTTAGAAGTGTTTTGGTAATGGTTATTACTTTCCATCTCTTCTATCAACTCATATGCTTCATCAATCCCCTTTCATTCAAAAGATCCACCAGCAACTGCAACTAAAGTAATCTTTATGTTAGGAGACAATGCATTATAAAAAGTTTGTACCTGTAACCACTTGGTTAAGCTATGATGTGGGCACTTTCTCAATAAGTCTTTGAATCTCTCCCAAGCTTCATACAAACTCTCTTGATCATGGTGGGCAAAAGTCATTATCTCATTGTCATTATCTCATTGTGAAGCTTTGTGGTCTTTGAAGATGGAAAGAATTTTGCCAAATATTTTTTCCATCTTCTTCCCATGTAGTGAAACTTCCAGCAGGGCATGATTGCAACCAAGATCGTGCTTTATCCCTTAGAGTGAAAGGGAATAGTCAATTTTATGGCATCTTCAGAGACTCCGTTTTGCTTAAATGCATTACAAATTTTTAGAAAATTTGTGATGTAGGCATTAGGATCTTTACTAAGCAAACCTCCATATTGAATTGAAGTGGACAACATTTGAATAATTTGCAGGTTTGATTTTAAAGTTGTTAGCTTCCACCCTAGGCCTGGTGATGCTTGAAGTGGCCCCATTAAGAGAAGGAGTCGTGTAATCTTGCAAGGTACGAATAGGAGGTAGAGCCCTTTGAGCGAGCAGAATTTGAGTGAGTGGATTTAGTGGATCCACTACATCTATTGGTTCTGCCATGGTGGATTGTCTTCTTTGTTCCCGACCTCTTCTTGCAGCGTCGTTTCTTTGGCAAGTCCTTTCAATTTCTGGATAAAAAATCAATGGTCCAATGCTATGAGATCTTCTTTAAATAAAACATCTGAAATTTCTTGTAAAAGAAAAAAAATTAAAACAACAGAAAATAAATGTTTAAATTAATAATAGGGTAATTAGTATTGATTTGGTAACGCCAATCCTCGGCAACGATGCCAAAAACTTGATAGGCTTTTTCGCAAGTGTACGAAATTGTAGACAAGGAATAAACAGCGAGTAGAGTATCGTCCCACGAAGATTATATACCAAGTACCAAAATTGTGTTGACCTATTATCATTTAAACTACAATAAAGAGAATGTATTTGAAAATAAAAGAATAAAAGTAAAAACAATAAGAATGAGATTAAGCAAGAAGTTATTGAAAGGAAATCAAAGTTTAAAAGATACTAGAGATTTTTACTTCACTTAATTCTATCCAGTTTATCCTATTAGTTTGATAATCAATTTTAATTATTTAAGAAGAAGAAATAACCCTAAATTCGCTAATAAGCTCTCTCTAAAGCTCTCTCTATGATAATTCAGGACTCCACAAATAATGTTTTAATTTTATGAAAATCTCCCACGAGTGCAAGACCATCTAGGCTTTCGCATCAAGTTGTATTTTCTCATGGAAATTATTACCCTGTTCATATAAAAATCCTTTTTCTCAACCAGTGATTAAATGATAATAAATTCAATCAAGGGGAGAAACTCTTTTCCTAGAAACATAAGATCAATAATAAACTTTACTTGAATAAAGAAAATCAAATCTAATATTATTAAAACTGGAAAGAAAATCAAATCTAATATTATAAACTGGAGTTGAATTTAAGCTACATCATATCCCTAGTAAAAAGATTTAGTTCGACATAGTAAATAAATCGAACTCAATAAAATTTGTAAATGATCCCATAAAGAAAAATAAACAAAAGAGAGTTTAGAAATAAAAACTAGTCAACGATTGGCTTAAGCAACTTCCTTGAATCTTGCACCAACTTGAGCACTTGAAATTTTAAAGAAAGATAAAACTATGCAGAAAAAAATCAAACAAGAGATAAATATAACCTAGCTCCTCTCTCTCTTTAAATAGACTGAAATCTCCGAATTTGATTAGGAAATAGAACCTCTAATGAGGAAGAAATCATTTTGAGGTAGAAAACTGATTAGGCATTGTATTTCTTCCAATTTAGGATTCTTCCAGTGGCTTGATAGGATTTAAACTTGATTGACATGTCAGAAAAGTATCTCACGCGGGTCCATGCAAGCGGCAGGGCTAAAATTGACGTTTTTGACCCAATATGAAGTCGGGCAATCAGCACGGGCATGCTGTGTGGCACGTTCTGGGCGTGCTAGGCTCTAATTCTTCAAGGTGGATACAACATGGGCCGTGTTCAGGTGAGCACGCTCTTGGATCGCCACTTCCTTGTAGCACGGGCTTGCTCTTTGGCACGGCTTGGGCGTGCTAACTGTGGGTCCCGTATACATTTGGCACAACCCAAGAGGGGGTGAATTAGATTTTCTAAAAATAAAAAATTAATTTTCCAAAATAAAATCAGAATTCTATTGTAGTGAAAATAGAATGCATTTGTGAGAGCAAGTTAGCAAGATTAGAACTTCATCACAAAGCTCAATGCAAAAATTAAAAAGACTTTGTAAAGAGCAGCAATTGATTAGAACTGCTTCACAATATCTTAAACAATTTCAAAAATACTTTATGAAGGAAAGTTATTACGTTTTGAACTACTTGATAAAGTTTAGACAAATATTAAAGAGTATGTGAGAAATAGTTATTCAATTTCTAAACTGCTTCACAAAGCTTTAAATATACTCAGAAAACTGATTAAAAATCCAAATTGTGAAATATACTGAATATAGAGGAACAAATTAGAACTTGGTATATTCACAATGCAGAAATCCAGAGTTCTAAAATGCAGAAATCCAGAGTTCTAATGTCAATAAAGATAAAGCCTATTCAAGTTTAGAACAATAAAACAATTAACAACTTAGCATTTCTAAAAGATTAACAGAAGTGTAAGTAAAAAGGTATCTAGTAGAACTTCTAAAAATAAAAAGATTAACACAACAATTTATAGTGGTCCACACTAACTTGCCTACATCCACTCCCCAAGACTCATCTTGAGATCCTCCACTATGTTATCTCTTTTTAAGGGCAAGAGACAAACCAACAGTACAAGGATAGGATTCAACTCCTAGATCTACCCTTTGTCCCACTAGATTGTCCAAAGGTTCTAGTAACCTCAACCCTTTTTTGGTTTTTGTAGAGAATAGAAACTCAAGAAACTCAAATCAAGACATTAGAATCCCACACAAGGAGAAGGTCGATTGATAACCTATTTCACAATAGCTTTTCACCTAAACTATTACACAAATGTTTTTCAAATAAAAGCCTACCTACAACAGATTACAGAATCTATATAGACAGAGAGAAATAAAAATATAAGCACGGGAAAAACAGAAATAGAGATTAGAAAATCGTTTTGAAGAACAAAATCCGTTTTTCAAAAGAAGTTGTTATAAAATTTTCTTTTCTCTTTTAAAAATAATACGTGAAGTAATAACATGAAAAGAAATAAGGGGGTTGAGAGTAAGTTTTGAGAGATTAAAGATTTGATCAATGGACTTATTAACTCTTTAAATGATCAATGGACTTATACTCTTAAAACAAAAAACCACGTCTTTACAAGGGAAAGACACCTTTTATAGAGAGGGATGGAAATCCCGTTTTAGAAAGTCAAATCTCTCTTTTAAATAAGAATATTGACTTTCCAAATTTTTAGTAGATACGGAGATCTTGTTGTCAAAAATTTTTTGAGTCAAAATCTTTTCTTTTAAGGTAAGCGAATAGGAATAAGATTTTAGACTTTTCTGTAAAAATAGTTTTTGAAAATAAAAATCTTTTTCAAACTATTTTATTACCAAAAATAATTAAGATAAAATCTCTTTCATTTAGGTAAGTGAATTAAATATCCAAAAATGGTAACATGATAAGCATTCAGAGATTATAGTACTAAAAGTGTAACATACTTCCTCTTGTACTTAATCACCAGAATATCCTGTGTTCCCTCCCTTTTTGTCATCAGAAAAGAGGATTAGTAAACCAAAGCAATATAAAAGTAAAACAACAAATAAACAAACCTGGAAAATTTAACTTGAATTCAACAACATATACTACAAACACAAACAAAGAACTAAAACACGCAACAGAAATAGTTCACAAAACATAGTCAGAGCAGATTAGAGAGAAGTCAAAGGGGTTTAGAATAAGTTCTAAGTCTTTTAGAACTTCTGAGGTTCTGTGTGTGCAGGAGAAGTTTCAGCAGGACACTCAGGACGTTTAGAAGAGGGATGCAGAGGAGGCTTCCTTTCATAAACTCTATGCTTTCTAGAAGTGTGCTTCACTCTCTTAGGTTTTTTTGAGGTAGGAATGTAGGGTGTGCCTTTTACCTTTAGAGTAGCTAGCCTTCTCTCATTAACATTTTTCATCCTTTCTAAGGACTCGATGAGGGACTGGTTGTGTGCAATCACAGCCTTACTCTATTTGATAGCCTCATCAAGCTCCTTATTATGCTCTTCAATGAGTTCTTTTTCTATTTTGCCCAGCACTACTCCTTTGTGCTGTCAGAAACTCTGATTCCTTTTTAGCCTTGACCTCAATCTCTTTTTCTTCTTCACTTAGTTCTAGCTTTTCTGTATCAATATCACTAGCTTCTTCAACTTCTACTGCCTCTTCTTTTTCTGTTTCTTCTTCAGGATCAATAGAATTCTTTTTCTCTTTAGTTCCTGCTTCATCTTTTTCTTCTTCCAACTCTTTTTCTAACTCTATTTCTTCCTCAGCTGCTGTCTCTTTTTCTTTTCTGTTTCTTCCTTTTTCTCTTCTTCTAATTTTTTTCTTCTTTCTCAACTTCTTCCAATTTTCCATTTCCTTTTTCCAATCTTTTTTTCTTCTTCTTCTTAGCTTCTTTTTTCTTCTTCTTCTTTCTCTTTTTCTATTCTTTCTTTTTCCTCAACAACTCCGTTTTCTTTTTCTTCTTCACCTTCTTCATCTTTTATTTTTAAAGATCCACTATCCAACTTTGAAACTGTGACATCCTACCGAGTCGAGTCTTAGCATAGAGTTGAGTAGTCGAGTTGAGTCGAGTTGAACCAAACCCGGTTCAAACCGGTTTTGGGGTAGAATGGGTATTAAGTGAGTTACTTTGATTGAGAGAAAAGATTAAGCACAAAGATTAAAGCACATGGGTGAGGATTGATATGCATTAAAAGATTGAGCTTGGGTATTAAGTTGTAGCCTGTTTACAATTGAGGTACCATTTATGAAGTTTTTCATAAAATCCTTTGATTTTTGATGGCCTACCCGTAATACCCATTTCACTTTCCCATTTTCATCTTTATCTTCATCTTCTTCATTTTCTTCCGTTCCTCTTCCACCTTACTTTCAATTTTAATGGTAGTCAAGCCTTAACTTCAACTTCTCTTTTATCAAAGTAAGTAAACCTTCTTAAAGTTCATAATTGAATCATTTGGTGTTATTATTTTAGAATTCATAAGAAGTCTTATTTATAGGTGAAGGGAGTTCAAAGAAAAAGAAGCTTAAGAAAAGAAGCTTTCAAGTTTTTTTGGGAAGTAAGGTTTGATAATCTCTTGTTATTTTCCATTTTTCTTTGCATGAGATTGTGTTGGTGTGTTGCTAGTGAGGACGAATATTGCTTCATGTTGAGTGGGGAGGACTGGTAATGGTGAAGAAGAAACAGGGAGAGAACAGTGGAGGTATTGAATAAATGAAGTGAATATTGAGGTTTTATGTTGAAACAGGTTTGCTGGAAATTTTTACCAGTAAACTTCATCTTGATTTTTACCCATTTTAAATTGATGGAATTAGAAGTGTCATAGAAAGATTTATTGTTCCTCTATGTGTTAGCTTTACATGGGTTTGTGAAATCATTCAAATCGCGAGTTTGTATATTGAGAGATATTGAAACCAAAAGAGTACAGACAGTGCAGCTGGAAGCGCCGCGCGCGAATTGCATGACGAGTTCGGCGTTGCCTTCTCGCGCTCGCGAATTTGAACTACACGCTTCGTGACTTTACACCTAAAAACTTCCTCTGACTCTTATTTGGCACATCTCGTCGCTCACGACTTTCAAATGCGCGCTCCGCGAGCTTTGTGCTCGCAAAACTCTCTGACTTTCATTTGCGCACATCTCGCGCCGCGACATTTTGAAGTACGCGCTCGCGTACTTGGGCCCTTGGCCTGTAAGCGATGCGACCTTCATCGCGCGCTCGCGAATTTAGGGCCTGAGAATCCACTGTCTCTCATTTGGCATTCTCGCGCTCGCAACTTTCAAGTACCGCGCTCGCGACTTGTGCTCGATAAATCTCACTTGTGTTCTATTCATTTGCATTCTACGGCGCTCGCCGACTTTGTAAGTACATGCGCTCGCGAGCTTGTGTTTCATGCACCTTTTGCGACTTCTTTTTAATATGCCAATTATTATCCTTGCTTCATTATATGCCTCCAATCATTTTAACAACTCAAATACAACATTAGGAACATGCTATCAAATACTCAACATTTAAGCATGCAAATGATTTGTGAAATCAATATAAAATCATTGATTGAAATTATTTGAAGTTGAATGAACTATGAAGATGATGTTGTGTGATATTATTGACATTTTACCAAACATTAGGCTCCATTGAGGTTAGCCAGAAACCAGGTAGATTTAAGGCTATGGTCGCGACATAGGATAGCAGATCTGCACTCTCATACCAGTTTGATAACTCCGGCTACAGGCCGTTGAAGTGGAACTATGATTATATATGGCGACCATAGCAGTCCAAGCATAACAGTATTCATCATGTTTCATACCAATTTCTTATCCACTTCAGGTTTCACTATAACCTTATGGAGCTCAATACAGATATCTTGACATAACATTTCATAATTATTTACTAGTATTAAGTATAACAGTACAAAAGATAATCAAGGTATCATGAAAGTATCATTGATGTGTGTTGCTTTATATGGTAGCCATAATGTGTTACATGGTTTCTTTCTATACATCGTATGTGGCTTAATTGGTTTCTTTGATATGTTGAGATATCCACTGAGCTTTATATTGCTCATCGAGTTACCTGTTTAAACCTTCTCGCAGTTTTTTGAGTTTGGACCGTTTTTAAGGAGAGTCAGCTTACAACTGCTGCAGTTCAATCTGTAGAAGACTCAGGTCTTCAGTGGTAGCTACTCATTTTAATATGTATCTTTGTCTACCCTTTTTATGGCATGTACAGGGCACTCAGTTGGGCCCATTTCATTTTGTAAACTAGTATCATGTGTTGTAAATATAAATTACATTATTTTTGTAAACAGTACAAGCATGTTATTATATTCAATATATAGTATGTTTTCAGCATGTCAGACCATACAGTCACCCAGTTTGTAGCATCTCGGCTCTGTTCGTTCGGGTTTACGGGTGGACCGGGAAGGGGTGTTACAAATTTTGGTATCAGAGCCCTAGGTTCAGTTTCCCCAGGCTTGCATTCATAAGTCAGTATAGTGTACCAGTGGTCAAGCATCCATACCATAGGGTAATTTCTTATTGGTTGTTTTTGCATTTGTCAAAAATTTTACGTCTGACACTAGATTGAACAGGCGTTTCTTTTTTCAATTATATGCCACATTATGCACAGTTATCAACTTTGATATTACATAATGTAAAGCGAACCGCTTTTTGGATAATAAAGTGTACAATTAAGCTTTTACCAACCACTTTCAACTGTCATAACTTGATTTACATAAGTAAGCGAACCGCTTTTTGGATAAATAAAGTGTACAATAAGCTTATACAACCACTTCATACTGTCATTCAAATTAGAGCACTCAATCACATTCTATTTTTTCGCAGAACCTTTTTGAACAATTTTCTTTACAAACTCTTCTTTTTTATACCCATTTACCCTGGAAATATCCTTAATCTTTGTTACCCTAGATGCATTGTTGGGTATTTTGAAAATTTCACTCAATCAATGTAAGATAACACTCTGGTTTCACCCTCAATTTTCATAGAAATCATCTCTGAACTAGCAGCTTTGAGAGAGCCATAAAATTCCTTTAGCAAACTCTCATAGCAAGGTCGATTTAAAGATAAAAACTCCATCCATCCTTGGAACTCAAATAGTTCCCTAAAGTTAAATTCTTCTTTTCCAAAGAATTTCCAGTCAATAACATATGAACGCATAAGAGAATAGGGAGATAAAATAGCTTTACCTTTGCTGCGAGAACCAGAGACCCGTTCCTTTGATTTTTCTTCCCCTTTTGATTTTTTCTTTTTGCTTTTTGATTTGACTTTCTTTGAACTCGATTACTCAATGGATTTCTTTTGTCCTGATTCTTTCTTTTCGTACTTCTCAGATAATCTCTTAAGAACTTGAAGTTCTTGTTCTATTAAAGAATCAAAGGAGGAAGAAGCAAAATTTGATCTGGCCATGGTTAGGGTTTCTAACACAGATTTTGCTTAGGGTCTCATTTGTGAGAAGGGAAAGCAGTTTTAATAGAAAAGAAAAGTGATTAATTAGAGAAGTTATTGATTGTAGGAAAACACTTAAACGAGAAGTTATAATAAAGACGAAAATTTTAAGAAATTAAAGAAAATAGTTTTTTTTTAAGGAAAATTGAATCGACAAAAAAAAAAATTCAAATAAAAGAAATAAAGGAAATGCTGCCAAAACTAAAACTAAAACAAAACAAAAAAAAGAAATTAAATAAACACAAAATAAAGTAAACACAAAAAAAGGACAAAGAAATCAACTGTTTTAAATTTTGTCTAAAAATAGAATCGGATGGTGACATTAGAACTTCACATTAGGCATTATGCATCTCTTTTAGACAAAAACGTTTTTCAAGTCACACAAAATACGATATTAGAACATAACATAGAGCAAGTCTTTCAATCTCAAATATAGAAAGCATTTTAGAACATACTTACAGAGTTCTAAAGTTAAGAGTTTAGAACTAACATACCGGAGTTCTACAAGTTTTAAGAGTTTAGAAATGCTAACTATACCAAGTTTCTCTTCTAATTAATAGCAGTGAATTGGCACTTCACTTAAAGGTTTTAGTAAAAACTTGTCTGCCCAATTTGTTCTCTGTAGGAAAAAAATGTCTGCCAATTGCTTCTCTGTAGGAATGAACTCGATCACTATATCATCTTTTTGAATATGATCACGTATGAAGTGATGTCTGAGTTCTATGTGCTTGGTTTTAGAATGCTGAACTGGATTCTTAAATAGGTTGATGGCGCTTATGTTGTCACATTTAATTGGGACTGTTTCTAATTTCAGATCATAGTCTGTCAATTGTTGTTTGATCCACAAAACTTGTGCAACGCAACTTCTAGTAGTAATATATTCTGCTTCTGCAGTAGATAGAGCAACGGATGTCTATTTCTTGCTAAAACATGATACATGGGCGCTACCTAAAAATTGGCAAGTTCCAGATGTGCTTTTTCTATCTATTCTGCTTCCTGCAAAATCAGAATTACTATACCCAACAAGATCAAATGTATTACCTTTAGAATACCACAGACCAAAATTAGAAGTTCCACAAAGATATCTTAGAATTCTTTTTACGGCAATTAAATGAGATTCTTTGGGACATGATTCTTTGGGACATGATTGAAATCTTAGCATGTATAAACAACACTAAAGTGAATTCATCAGGTTTCTGCTTTCCAGTTAGATATTTAGTAAAGAAATCCAATCATTACTTCTAAATAATTTAA